GCCGGAGAAGGGGACAGCGGAGCGGCTGCCACAACGTTACCACAGTCAACTCGACGTAGGCGATGGTGTGTATTGAAAGTGCGGACATGTCAAGGTGTTAAAAAGGTAAGGTGTACAACAAGGGTGACTACTCTAGTCAAGACACCAGTTAGCTGCCCAAGCCGGTCAGCCATCTTAGGCAGAGATATATTTCAAGTGGCCGACGCGGAGTGGGCCTACGCGTAGGCGTCCCATCTCCCCGCCCATGTGTAAAATTTGTCACGGAATGCGCAAACTCTTGACTGTCTGATTAGAGCGTGACATTTCGTAATCCGGTCTCCACGATGGTTCATCAAAGTAAAAAACGAAGCATTGTTGGCTCTTCTAGTCCTTGCCAGGACGCAAGTGATACGCGGTGACGTATTAAGGTGTTTTAGTAGTAAGTATACTAACTATCAGCTGAACCCATTTTATTTGGTTAAACTCTCACTCACCGAGCCTATGGAGAAGATGTTTTGAAGCTAGGTAGGCACGTAATATTGATTGTCTAACAGCGTAGTCCCAAAATATTTCAGTCGCGATGGGGTGCTATTTCTGACCGCCTGCCATAACCGCAGGGTAGCACGCATTTTCCCATTGATTTCAAAGTCATCGCGTCCACCAATATACTAGCCCCTAAACTAATTCTGTAGCAAATAACGGCTTCTTCAAACTCTATATTAGAAGAAAGGGCATATCTTAGTTTTAAAAACCACTTCCAATCCATAATTTATTTCGAACTCACCCAACAGTAGCATCTGCGCGTTAGACTTCTAAATTACGCAAACCCACATTACTTACAAAAATACCAATAAAGAACGTCAAACAAAACTAAAAATTTTGCAGTGAAGGTGGGCCAAGTTGTAAACTCCCCAATTTACGTTAATCAACAAACGAATACGGTGCCAAATCAGTGGATATTTGATGAGAGCACAAGACCTTAAAACAGCCTTTTCTTAATCATACAAACCGTAGAAGGCAGAAATTGCTACCGCATAGGCAGGAAAATGGCATTTTGCGTTTTTTTTAAATACAAGCGAATTTCGAAAAGTGAAGGTTCCTTTGGGGAAAACTAAATTGTATTCGTAAATTTTCAAAAAAAGTAACACCAACCCATCTTCAAACAAGATAGAGACAAGAAGAAAGTCAGACTGTCGCAGTAGACCATTTGCGTGTATGAGTTCATAATGCGACGGTAAATCACTTGAAAGCACCATACTAAGTAAATATTTTTTACCGATTGTTCTTACTGCAGATGGATGAGACTCCCTCATTCAAGACCCAATATTCCGGCCTGAATGAAGTCGCTAGATACCGTTACACATAGTTCATTTTTAGAGCCTGTCTAAGTAAAAGGCCAAAATAAAACGTCAATTTCAGAATTGTGGTCAAAATTCCATGAGATGGGCTGAATAATGCTTGTTCTATGCAATGTGAGTCACATAGATTAAAAGCATTATGATTTTTGGCACAAAGATCTCCAAGAAAATGAATATTAATCGACCACAGACCCCATTCAGCAAGCAAATTCAGACCCAGATTAAGAACCTTCAATTTTATTATCGCGGGTCATCTGTGTTTACAAGTTATTGAAAGGAAACCTGATTTTAATATGTTTATTAGCTCGGATCAAAATTCGGTTTATTATGAATAGGCACGACCACCACTATCAATCCTTTCTGCAGACCGCATATGGACTGTTTAGGAATGAAAAACGACGCGCTTGTTCGCGCCCACTAATAAATAAAAAAAGTTGATGTAGACAAGAAACAGACCGCAATTACAACATAACAAACGAAAAGTGCAATACGGCAACGTAATTGTCGTCAAAAAGAGTGCACATTTTGTTTTATTTTCTCATGAAATAAACTCAGACTTCAGCATTCTTGCCACTAAGAGGTGGGTTTCTGCGTTTGCATAATCATTTTATCGGTCTCCCAGTGATATAGTTTAGCTCTAACACTGCGAAAATAATAAACGCCCAATTGAAAGATTTTGTAAAAGATTACCAGCTTCATCTGAATGATTAAAATAGTAAAGAGAAGCAAAAAGCGTTCTCTAAAACTACCCCTATTCTTCTTAAACACGTGCGATCGCAGGTGAGCGTTGGAAGTCCTAAACATGTTGAGACGACCCTGAGAAAAGCTAGCATGTTCATTCTAAGACAGCAATTCTGGTTTGGGGAAAGGAAAGTTTGATTGCACATCGGCAGGTAAATCACATTTTTTGGAGCGCAGGGAAGGTCAGGACAACAGAACGCGAATAAACATGTTTCATACTTTCAGGGACACTTGACACAAAGGCATTAACAGTGGCAGCTTCGACGATGTTCACAAAAGTACTTTGAAGCCCTGGAAGCTATTACATATTTAGAATATAATGTTAAGGCAGGAGTACCAAGTCCTAAGAAACTCCGAGCTCGCCCATTTGGCTTTTGCTATGGGCTTCGTCAATATTTATTCATAAGATACACCTTTTTTCCAAATGCCTGCATACAGTCTACGAATTGGGACACTGCTGTCAGTCAGGGCGACTTTCTGCCACTACGTCGTGAGCTTCCCGTGTGAAAGGTTATGTAATCACAATCTCTCAATCTTAAAAAGTTATTCTTTACCTGACGCTATGGCTACTGCTAACTGACTTGTACTCATTTGGTAAGAAGCGACGCAGTTTCTTCAATAGTGAGTAACTTTGGACCCGATCGGTAGTTGTAACAGGCTGGGACAAAAGTTTTGTAACACTTGCAGAAAACTATATTTTTTGATAGCATTCACTAAACAAATCCATATCTTGCATTCGACAACAAAAATGAATGATAACTTTTCTTCAAAATAAAGTCCATCATTCTAATCAATTTCTGCCGGTGATTTTTAAGCACCTGGACCTGGTAAAAGCTCCATTCCTTGGGCTTTAGTTTCAGAAAATGTTTGCAATGTTCTTAGATTTCCTTAAATGACTCGAATTGTCGACCTTGCAAGAAGTGCTGCATTGATGGGAAGAGACCGTAGGCAGATGTTGCGGCATTGGGGTTGTAGGCCGAAAGTGGAGAAACCTCGACACCATCCGATCCCTCGAACTTGTTCGGTAACGTGGGGTTTGGCATTGCCATGGTGAAGCAGAGTCCGTTTTTGACGGACCAATACCGGGGATTTCCTTTTAAGTTTGTCGTAGACTCGGCTTTGTTGTTGGCCGTAGGGATTGGTGTTAATGCACGGCCATTCGAAAAATTCAAAGTGAATCATATCTTCGAAATTCCACCAAACAACAATTGTCAAGCTTTTGCTGAACTGATGTTTACTTGGGACGGATAGGGGAGCTTAACCTCTTGGAACCCGATTTATTTGTCATTTACGACTGACCAAGTAGGCTCATTTCTCATAAGGGGTCAAAATGTGCCTTCAGTATCGATCGCTTGATGAGTTTTTGCAACAATTGGCGGCAAATCTGAACGCGTCGATTGGCTTTTCACTCAGTTACCTCATGTGAGTCTTGATGGGGCTTCTTATGGACAATAGTCAAGATGATGCGGGCGCCTCAAGACCGTTTACTGATCGATCCCAATCGCTGCTGCCAAATCACGATTGCTCAACGACGTTTCATGTTCATAAGTAGAAAGTAAGTCCTCACTATTTAATTTTGATAGTCGGACGGGACGGGGCCGATCTTCCAGAGTTAAAATAATTTAACCGTCAACGCATCATTGTGTTGTTGATGATCGCTTCGCCGTCCGCAACACAGATCTCCATTGCAGTCTGCCTAGTCAAAGTTCTCGTTTCCAGCAAAAGCAAATGAGGATCTGAAGCCTATTTTTATTCAAAGCCAAATGAAATATGGGGAGGAATTTTGAATTTGTAGATGGGCGCTCACCGGTCGTTCTTACGAAACTCACTCGAAGTTAGGATTAGAGAATTTGGCAAACAATCGTAAAAAACGTTATAAAAAGCGTAACTATGTATAAAATATAAAACTAACGTCTTAATATAGACGACAGCTTCAAAAAACGTGTCAAACAACATTCATTTTAAGTAATGAGGAAGGCTGGTTTAGGGGGTCCCATTAGGCAAGCTTACTGTTTTCTCTATAACGAAAAGCACACGTTTATTCTGACCATTAAACGAATGTCTTAAAGGGTTCAGAACACGTTTGCAATAAACCTGGACCATGTTGTAAACATGACGAGGGCCTTTATAAACGTACAGTTGCGACGCTAGTTGATTGAAAATTGGACGGTCTCAAACATCTCATAAATAGAAACGTTCTTGAAATATAAAGGCAATATTTTTCCGAGTATATGATTTGACAAAAACGTGTTTGTTTAGCAAATGAGTGCAATGCAGGAGAGGTTAGCGCAATGTTTCTTTAAAATGTGCCTGATTTTGCTGAGGTATCGATAATCGAGAAAAGTGCGTATTACACAAGTGGTCATTGTATACGTACTGCGGTTTTCACATGCCCAAAATTAAGGTGCATTGAAAGGCTAACGTCTCGACGAGACAGAAGTACTGGGACGATGCCCCATGTCAATAAATATTAGAGTCCCACCTTAGCAAACCCTCCCAATCGAAAACGCATTTCAGAATTTCGGCTGACAATTTCGAAGACCGGTCACTGACCATATACCATGAAGTCACGCCTCTGGTTTATTTGCGTTTTATAATATTCAGTTTGCCTTCTGTTCAAGGGAAAAAACAACAGCCAGTATACTCAAATTCGGCCGCCATGTGCAGACTTTAAGCTTAAAAGAGACAGTAACCATAATAACGAATAACAACGAAATGGAATATATTTTAAAGAAGATGAAGACCCGATCTCTGGGACAGTGGGTTTATTAGTCTGAGCTTTCGGTCTCGTACAGGAGGCCATCGTCAGAGACTGTGAGAAGGCAACATCAAATGAGTGTTTTTTGTAGTCACGCCATGAAGGGGGGGGGGAGATATGAGTGCAGAGGGTGGTATTCGCGATAAGTTGCGTCCCACGCCGTCTCACGGTGGCGTGACTGCGTGCAGCCTTGGCTGGAAATTGGGTCTCGCCCCTTGGCCGCGGGAACGGAGCGCGTGATAGCAGGGGGGTATACCAACGTGCCTGTTGATAGCGTTGGTGTCAGACACCCAGGCCTCTAACAGTTCTCGTCCTGTCTTATTGCTGGCCCGCGCCACTATCCGCGTGCTCGCAAAGTTGAATTCGTGGCCTTCCTCCAGGGTGTAAGTGACGACCTGAGACAACGGGTCGCCTCTCCGGACCGCCCGTTTGTGCTCCGTTATACGTGAGCTGAGTCGTCGTCGGGTTTGTCCAGTGTAGTGGCGAGGACAGTCCCGACATGGGATACGATAGACGACGCCCGATTGTTCACCCACGTCTAGGCGATCCTTCACTTGCATGATTTTGCTGCGCATGGTCGCTGTCGGACGGTGAGCGATACCCACGCCGAGCTCTCCAGCGATACGTTCCATCGTTTCGGATACGTTCTTTATATATGGCAGAGGGTGCCAGAGTGTTGGTGGCTCTCCTCCGTTTGTTCGCCGTGGGCGCGTGCGGAGGCAGCGGCTGACGAAGCTGTTCGGGTATCCATTCCTTGCCAGTTGGTCCCGAAGATGCCGAAGTTCTCGAACTCGTCCCTCTGGTTCACTGCAGTGCGTTTTTACCCTCTGGAAGAGTGTCCTAACACAGCTGCGTTTATGCGCCATTGGGTGGTTGCTGTGGTAGTTGAGAATCTGAGTCGTGTTAGTCGCCTTTCTGTACACCGTGGTGTTGAGTTCGCCGTTGGGTGTGCGTGTGACGAGAACGTAAAGGAAAGGCAGCTGTTCGGCATGCTCTTCTTCCCTAGTGAACAGCTGCCTTTCCTTTACGTTCTCGTCACACGCACAACCAACGGCGAACTCAACACCACGGTGTACAGAAAGGCGACTAACACGACTCAGATTCTCAACTACCACAGCAACCACCCAATGGCGCATAA